TCTTTCTCCCGCGGAGCGGCTGGTAGTTTCGAACCGCTGACCTTAAGGTTCGCAGCCCGATTCGTAACCACTACGCTACCAGAGCTCCTTACCCATATTGTTAAGTATGAAAAATCTCAGAGCCTTATGCTTACTATAATCCCTTTTCAATTTAAAATCTGAGAATCAGATGGTTTCTGCTGTTGACAGGGTGCTGTCTTTCCACCTTTCTGCTGCTATTAGTGGAACATATTTGAGGTTTGCTTTTCTGACAGGTTTCTGCCTTACATGGATTCCAGCTTTCATAGGTTTTACTATATTTCTAAGAGCAAAAGTTGTAATAAATCATATTTCAAAGCATTAAAGATAATTATCAGAGTGATATGAAATCAAGTAACTTAAATTGTTTTCTGTTTAGATTAGGTTTTCAATTTTCCAATAATTGTGTACATTACATACATGCTAAATTTTTTTGTAAGTTGAAAAGAGAGAGTTATATTAACCAATAGATTCTAAGAACATGGGGGAAATCCATAAATTTCAATGTTAAATGAGAATAAAAGGACATTGCTTTCCATATACTTATATTGTTGTCAGACTGTATATGCGTGATGGTCAGATGAATGATGTTTTTCAGTACTACTTTGCAAATGTTCTTAATGAACGTATATTGCCACTATAATCAGAATTTTTTCCAAAAAAATCAATTTAAAAAAAAAACTGTCATTAAGTTGATTCAGACTCATAGAGACCCTAAATGATAGAGTAGAGCTGCTTCATAGAGTTTCTGAGACTGGACATTTTTATGGGAGTATCATTATTCCAGTTGAAACAGTGGGTTTCAACTGTTGATCCAATAGCTAGGAGCCTAATTCTTAGCAAACAAGTCCATATAATCAAAAGAGTAATTTTATTTTTAAAATGTCCACTACTGAAAAAAATGAAGCTCTTAAAAGGTTTGTGAAAGGGAGTAAGTTTTGACTGAAATTGTGTATTTTGAAATATTATATTTCCAAATATGGAAAATACAAAAATTAAAACTTAAGTCACTAAATAGAACTGCACATAGTTGTTCTTTTAACAGAATCAGATGTGGGCTGTTTTGCAGTAACAATCCTTCACTTCCATTGTAGTAAGGTAATCAGAATAGTTTAGCAAATGTTTTCTATGGACCTTTAATAAGCTTGTTTTTAGTTGTCATTAAGCCAATTTTGACTGTGTTAAAAGCTAATATAACAGTGAGGTCTATTACATCAGAAGTGTGGATCTCTGGACAGATGACAGAGAATAGTAAAAGGCAATTATTGGTATACAGATGCCAGGAGCACTTTTCCACTTCATAGGATATCAGCAACTGACTAAATTGACCTTCTCTGGGTGAACCAGCCCTTTCCCATTTTGAGTTCATAGACTTGGGTGTGATCCACCCCAAGTCTTTTACCCAAAGTCTCAAGTAAATCAGTGGATCCAACTTTTTAGGTCCTTAACCCAGGTCAATAAAAATCAAGGGCAAGACCATGTTAAAAACATTGGAAGGGGTGGCCTCTTTCACTCTGTGCATTTTGTATTTAAATAAAGGACATTAAAAAGTCAGTTAGGAAAGGAGCTGTATGGGTTTAGCATATAGTCCTGCCTCCTTGCTGCCTTATGTGTCCCTCTGCTATAACCCTCACCGTACTATGATCTGGTCACTGATGAGTCTAATCTCTTCCTTAAGATAGTTAACTCCCTAAGGAAAAGAGACCCATCTCCAACATGCCTGGTCCTGGCACAGAAAACACACATCAGCAAAGACAATTACCCTGATGGACTCAGCAATGATGAAATGAAACCATTAGTGGTTCTATCACTGGGGACACTGGTTTCTGAGACTCTAGTATTGTAGCTAATGTTACAATCTACAGTCTCATCTTCTACCCTCGGTCCCTGCTCTGAGTCATCAGCTATGGGTCCTCATGTGGTGACTGCTTGATTCTCCAACACAGCACCCAAAAAGCATCAGCAGGCGTGTGTGGGGTGGGGTGCAAGGCAGCTTTTGTAAAAGACTTTTATAATGAATAACCACAAAACCAGAGGAGACCATGAGATCACTGAGCCCACCTCCACACTCTTCCTCTCCTGGGAGATAAAAGCAAGCCAGGAGGAGGCAACAGCAACTCTGACCTGGACAATCGGCCTGAGAAGATGCAGCTCCTCCTGCTCCTCTTAGCCTGCGTTCTGGTACCAAGGACAGAGACAGGTGAGTGACTGGCCCCACCCTCCCAGCCCCCACCCCATGCCACAGCAGGCACTGATCTCCTTTTGCACATTCCTGAGCCATCTAGCTACTAGGAAGTTTCTGAATACCTCTAGTCCCACCCCAGACCTCCACTATAAGTCTGGATAAGCTATTTGCAGGATAATCAGGAACATTTGTTCTTAAGAGGTATCAGGGGTCCTATTGCTACCCCATGTTCTACATGCAATTTTAATCTGAAAAATGGAACTTTCCTAGAAGTGCAAAATAATTAGAAGGGAACAAGAAAGGAGAAATATACAAATGTCCCAGCACAGGGTAAAATGAGCCTGGTAAAAATTGTCTGGGCTGACACAAGTCTTCCTTTCATTCACACATCTGCCTGGAAGAAAAGTGGAGAGCTCAGCTGACCCTAAGATTGGTGGAACCACTGTCCCTTTAACACTGTTTACCTTTACTTTACCCCAAGACCCCTCAATCCATTTCTCCAGTGCTGCACATTGCTTCTCATGCCCCAGTATCTTCTCAAGCATAGGCCCCTACCTCTTACAGACCCAAATTTCTCTGCTTTCCAGAATCCCACAACCCCAGCAACCCTCCGCCAGTAATTAATTGGTAGCTAATGAACATTTCCTGTCAGGCTGTAGGAAATAGGATCTAATACCATTTAGATCCCTAAACTTATGTCCTAGCTGCTTGAAAGCAGTCCCAGCACAAATATCACAGGACTCTGAAGGGTCTTAGAAACTCCTATCAAACCAAGAAAGACAAAGAGGGGCATTTTCTGGAGCCTCTGAGACATTGCGGTTCCTGAGACATCTATGCTCACCTCCAACCATGTGCAGAAGAGAGATGACAGACCAAAGGCTGTTCTTCCTTTGTCCAGAGGAGAAGCTTAAGGCCTCTAACCCCAGCCACCCCACCTTAGACTATCCCACGCTTGTAAAGGCATAGTAATTCTGGAGCTATCAAGCAGATGCTTTCTGGGGGACTCAGTGGTACACACAGCAGACCAAAGTTCTCTTTCAGGGGAGATCATCGGGGGACATGAAGCCCAGCCCCACTCTCGGCCCTATATGGTATATATTCAATCCTTGAAACAAGATAAAATGGCATGCAGTGGTTTCCTGATCAAAGAAGACTTTGTTCTGACGGCTGCTCACTGTTTTGGATGGTGAGTTGCTGCAAAGATCCTACACTCCCCTGGGAAGCCTTACCTTCTTCAAATGCTCCTCACAGCACAGACTGCGAGAGGGGTCAGCTAATTGTGTGGGGAGAGGAACAGGGTCTGTGCCAGAGAGATTGCTGAAGATAGAATCTTGACTGGACAACTGTGCCATAGTTAGAGCCAGAAGCATGGATTTGGGGTCAAATGCAGGAAAACTTGCAAGTTTTCTTGTGGGTAACTGATCCCTGAGAAACACTGGGGAAGTTATCAATGGCTCCAGCATCCCTTCTGGGCTACAAGTAGCAGAAGGCATAGTGAGCTCAGTCCCAAACCCTCCTGTCCCCTCCATTTCGATCACGATCACGTACACGCCTCTCCTGTCCTAGCTATCATCTGCTCTCCCCACATTCTGGGCTACAGCTCCTGTGACTCCCCCTAAACCACCCTACTTTCTGTACAGTTTCATGAATGTCACGCTGGGTGCCCACGACATTGACAAGCAGGAAGAGACTCAGCAGCACATCTCTGTGAGAAGAGCCATTCCCCACCCAGACTATAATGAGACAATATTATACAATGACATCATGCTCCTACAGGTGAGGCATAACCCCTGCTGCGCCTTGCTCCCCAGGGTCCAGGGAGGTTCTCCTCCCAGCATGACCCCTGACCTTTCCATCTTTCCACGCTGACTGTCTGACTAGTTGCAGGGCCTTGGACAAGCAGGAATGCGGTGCAGTCAGTCACGGTCTGTAGACTCAGCAGGCTGTTGCTGACAGACTTCTTTGTCGCTCTCTACTAGTTGGAGAAAAAGGCTGAATTGACCAAAGCTGTATGCATGCTCCAGCTACCTGAAAAAAGGATCCCAGTAATGCCAGGGACAGCATGCAGTGTGGCCGGCTGGGGCAAAGTCTCACAGCACAGTAAAACTTCCAAACTGCATGAGGTGACGCTAACTGTGCAGACGGACGAGACGTGTAAGACCCGCTACAGCAATTACAAGAGCGCCTCTGAGATATGTGTGGGAGACCCGGAGAAAAATGCTTCTTCCTTTCAGGTGGGATGTAGCATCTATCTATCCTGGTTCTAGGGTGTAAGATGTTTTAAGAACTTGAACCTGGAAACCCAATCAGTGAGGGAACTTCTTTACCCACTAGGTTGTGACCTTTTTCCCTTTGGAAGAAAAGAGGCAAACAGCCTCAGTGAGGCATCATTAGAATTGCTGCTGGTCTCCCAGTGGTGACTATGAGAAAAACCTCTTCCAAATGGAAGAATTTGTGACTCTCTAAGGAGCTCTGGTAGCATAGTGGTTACGAATTAGGCTGCGAACCTCAAGGTTGGCAGTTCGAAACTACCAGCCGTTCTGCGGGAGAAAGATGAGGCTTTCTGCTCCCATAAAGATTTACAGCCTCGGAAACCCTGTACAGGGTCACTATGAGGTCACCATGGTACTTAACAACAACAACAACACCCCATTCTAAAGTTTCTTGGGTGGTACAAACTGTTTGGACTAAGCGTCTAAACTAGAAGGTAGAGTTCAAGCCCACTCCTAGATGTCCTTTAAGAAAACCCTGTGGAGCAATTCTACTCATGGATTGCCAGAAGTCTAAATCAACAAGGCAGCAACTTTGTTCTGTTTGGTTTTTTGTTTGCTTTAGGGGGTAAGCTTGCCTCTCCCCAGAGCACACATAGTAGAAAATAACTCTCCCTCTACATAAAGTCATAAAACAAACAGGCAGTAACTCAGGAAATAGCAGCCACTTTGTTAGTGGACTGTCCTCTATGATGGATTTAGGTGTGCTCACCTACCTCTGTTTATTTACGCAGAGAACCAAAGGTCCCATAGTCCCTTATAGGGAAAGGATCCTGGACCTAGGAGCAGAAGGTAGGCTACACCCTGGGATAAGGTGAATAAACAATGTCTAGGCTCAGAGTTTGGCAGCTGAGAATGCCCACAGGCCTACAGACCATGTTTTTTCACACCATACAAGGTGACCTTCTCCTGGAGTGTGAAACTTGACAGGGCAGCAGAAACAGGAGGAGAACCAGCTCAGTCCTTCCCCTCTCTGTTCACAGGGAGACTCTGGAGGCCCTCTCATATGTGCCAATGTGGCTCAGGGCATTGTCTCCTATGGAAACAACAGTGGGACTCCTCCACGGGTCTTCACCAAAATCACGAGTTTCCTGACATGGATAAAGAATACCATAAACAGCCCCCAATTGAAGAAATCAGACTGAGCCCCTCTGTGATTGATCATCTCTGGAGGTACAACACCTAAATAAATGTGTCCTGGCTGAGATGATATGTTGTTGTCTTGTTTATTCCTTGACTTGCTTTCAAGTTCACCAAGCTCTCAAGTTCGCCAAGAACATAATTCTGCTCTGTGTCCTGCTTTCCCTTTTCTCCCACCACATCCCCAGTTCCCCATGCAAAGCAGTCATGCATCTCCTCCTTACTCATCCCTGTATCTCCATGGCCTGCGCTTCATGAGAACCAAGGTTGAACACCCTTAAGAGGAAACACAAACCACTCTGGTCCTGGGCTTGTGTGACTTTCTTACTTCTTTGCCCTGTGCTAACTGTCAGAGAGGAAGAGATCTCTAATGGGGTTTTGGAGGCAAAGTAGGCATACAATGGGTCTCAGAGAAGAGCAAAACCAAGGTATTTTCCTTCTACAGCCAGTGAAGATGGCAATTTTGGCAGGAGGTGGTCCCTGAGCTATGTCTGTCTCCGGGGTTTTGCCTCCTTCCTGCCCATTTCTGCCCTGAACTGAACTTAGGACCCAGCCCAGCCACCAGTCTCCTAGTCACTATTTTTCCTCCATTCTTACTTAGCATTGAGAGTCCACCAATTCCTGTTTCCTGCAGACCACACTGATCTGAACTGGACCCCTTCCTCATCTTGCCACCAAGGACATCCAGAGACCTGTGTGGATTCCAGCAAGGTTATTACCGCTGGGGTGCCAACTCAGTCCGTGCTTTGGCAGAGAAGAACCTCAGAGGGACTAGTGCAATGCAGGGTCTTAGGAGAGTAGAGCTGGCAGGGTCACTCTCCAGTACCCTTGGTCCCAACACTCACCTAGACAGGACCAATCAACCCCCATTCAACTCAACATTCAGCTCAGTACCAACCATAACCTCATGATCCACTGCCCACCACGTAGCCTGAGTCTTTTACTGTTTGTCCATCTTGGTCATGACTGGCCTCTAGGCTAATCTCCCTGGCTAATAGCATAGATTATATCAGCCACTGGAATTAGGAAGGACTTTTCTCTGAAGCAGGTAAGGAAAACATCAAGCAGCCAACAAATACAGCTTGAATGCTTACCAATGGCAGGCATTGTAATGAGTGTAACAAGTCTATCATTTGCACCCAAATGAAACTGTGTTGACTATTTTCACTGAAATTGTCTAATGTCTCTCCCTTCCACCAGATGTGTCCATATGGCCAAGATCCATGTGGGAAAGACATAGGAATAGAAATATTTGTATTTATTTTTCATGCCTGGTTACAATTTGCATGAATGATCATATGTGATCCAAGAACGACAGTCTATGGATTTGGAAATGACTGTGGTTCTCGATATGAAGTTTTCATACTATGTTCACTGAAGCAACTTCACCTAGAAGAGAGGGTAAGCGGGAACATAATTGTACAGATTCGATTTCTGGGAAAAACATTTATATATTTGTGTGAACACCAAAGAGTCTGGCTTTAAACACCCTTTCTGTTGGACTGATCAGGAACATAATTCCAGGCATTACTGTAAGTGCAGAACCAAACTAGACTCAGACATCCATGTGGTCAGGGAAAATGGAGAATGCCTCCCATCTTAGGCCATCATGGCTACTGATATGTCCAAAGTTTCTAGACACCCCTGGACTTCTCAACATTAGAAGTTCTCACCTTAGGAGCCATGCATACAATATGTGACTTTTGCTGAATATGGGCTCCATGTGCCAGGTAAACCCAGCAGCCATCCCTGAGCTCTTGCCCATTAATATGGGACACTGTCTGGGAGCTGAATGTAAGTTCCATCCCTGCTATAATGCCTCCCTGCTACCAATACACACAATATAAGCTCATATGTGACATGGAATAATTCTTTTCCTCTGTCATGCAACCCTAAAAGGTATGCCTTCTCAAACCTGTCCACAAACCACGTTGCAATATAATGTCTTACTGACCTTGCACATTTGTACAAGGAAAGAGCAGTGGATGCCACAGAGCTTCTGATTTGGGGATGGAAAAGTATTCCTGCATTTCAGGTGTTAACAAAGGCCTGGGTCATTAACTGGAAAAGACAACAATAAAAAGAGGAAAATGCAGAAAACAAAACCAAAACAGTATTTAGAAACATGACCTTCTCACATATAAATCCTGTTTAAGTACTATATTTACTTTGAGGAAATGGTTCTGTGGTTTAAGACAAATGTGAAAACAGTTGTTACAGGCCCACATCCTCTTCTGAGAAATGATTGAAAAAAAAAAAAAAAAAAAAAGTTCCAATCAATGGTATCACAGAAGTTAAGACAAAACCCACATTCCCGACCACCAGGACAGCAAGAAATCGTAACTGTCTTCTTCTCACACCCATCTTAAGATCTAGTCATGGTATTCCTGGATAAGAGATGATCTGTGGTTCAGGTATCTTCCTGGAGAGAAAGTCTAGGACTCCTTGGCAGCCATTGTGCAGACCCACAAGCAGAGTGAGGTCCCAGGACACACAGGGAGGACTGCTAAATTAGTTCCTGGTGAAGATAGACTTAAATGTATGGCAAGATCTTTCTAATTAATTATGGGGGCCATGTATGGTGTGATTCTGTCTTCTCTACTCACCACCATTCTTTTTTATAAGTTTGCCTGATATATTTTCTTTATCCCATGTCTCACTAACTAAATTTCTAAAGATTGAAATTAAAAACAAACAAAAATACTAACTATAGGGATACATACATAAATGCATAGAGTAAAAGTTCTGACAGTCTAATTTTTATTAATATTTTGTTGTTGTTAAGTGTTGTTGAGTCGATTCCAAGCCATAGCGACCCTGTATATAGTTTCCAAGGAGAAGCTGGTGACCTTGAACCACCAACCTTGCAGTTCAAACGACTTTGCAGTCTGACACATTAGTCTGCAGCATTGTTTAATCTGTTCTCATATCTTTGTAGGAGCAGAATGTCTCAACTTCCTCGCAGATTGCCTTTGAAGCGTGATCCACTGACTTTGTGGTTCGTAGGTCAGTGATTATCCTACAGATCCATTGTGCTCCCAATAATCTATTTTAAGAAATGTAAGAAGCACAATTTCAAAAATGAGCATATGACTTTTACTCTTCTAGAAACAGACTTTCTCCTCTTTTTTATTTCCTTACCTCCCACACTTTTAAAAGAATAACTCTTCTTTTCAAGAAGCACAAAAGAGAAATTTTTCACACGTCTTTGTCATATTTCTACTACGTTGTTTTACACAATTCAGTTCTAAGGAAATATCCTTCTTTGTGTGTGTGTGTGTGTGTGTATGATATTTGCTTTATTGCACTGGTCTGGAATTGATCCCACACTATCTCCAAGGTATGCCTATGATGCATAGAGTATGAATCCAATTTTATTTCTTTAAAATATGTATGGAAACACTTTTTAACAATCATCTTTTAGTAGGGACGTTATAGAATCAGGAGTGTTAGAAGACAAATCATAACTACTGTTTTTAAAAATAGTTGGTTTGTTTATTAGTTTTTATTGTGAATTGAGTAATAGTTTTCATGGGAAAACATCTGTTTTACACTCATCATTTCATTCCAATGATTACAATCTCTTCCGTGCATCGTCATTCAACAATATTGGTGTCTATTCTCTCTGTTTTTTGTTTTGTTTTGTTTTTTGTTTTGGATGTACACAAAAACACTCAGAAATATATAATCATTTAAAGAATCAAAGGGCACATTCTGCATGCCTGCCTCCTGGCTGCAAGCACACAGTCTGTCTCTTTCCATGAGTCTAGATTCCTCAAATGATCTATTTCTCCATGTCCTCATCTCTGCCTCCATCTCTGGTGTCGCTGTTTCTCTGGATAGAGTCCCACATTCTGCTTGTGCTTTTCTCCCTTGGTGGTCCTAGGGTCCTCTTTCCTGACTGTACAATTAACTACTGCCCCCCCTTTTTGTTATAGAATGTCTACCTTAACTATTGGGACAGTCACAATTAGTCATGATTACTCACTATTGAATCTTAAGAATCTTATCCCCATCTCCTTTCACCAGACCCATTTAGACAAGATGAAAACAATTCAATGGGGACTCTACCTTCCCCTGCACAATTAAAACTAAACTCCCTCTTGAAAACTTGTAAGCCAACAACTTCTTGCCTTATAGCCCCCGCACCCCATTTTTGGTAGCCAATGTCTGTTACCCATCCATATCAACCCTGTATACAGCGGTGATAGGCTTGATACTTGATGGGAAGACTACTTCCCTTTCAATTGGTATTTTGAGCTATACTACATCCATTAGGTCAATTTCATCAAATTGTAGCAATTTACACTTACTTCCTTTATCAAAAACTCTTTTGTTTTCATCTCATAGTGGAGTTCTGATAATCAAGCCATTGAAGCTAGGTCTAATGGGTATTATTTACAAGTTTTGCGTTCTTGTGCGTCTCCCCTCATTTCATATCAGGTGAACACTTCACTCTCAGCTCTAACTCTCCTTGGCTATGGCCTTATCCATAGGCTCATGAGTCCCCAGGTCTCACCATACTTTGAACCTACCAGCCCTTCCTCTTTTTATCTTTCATCTCCAGGTTGATGGGAGTCTATGGATGGTGGTCAAACTCAGCTCATTTCTTCATTGCTGCCTTTCCCCCTCTTCCACTCACCAGCAGACCAACATGGTTGCCAGCAAGCTTACATACCTGTTCATGTGTTCTCTTTCAGTTGAAAGAAACATCCCTTTTTGGTTTTTAACATTTTACTGTGAATTGAGTAAAGAGCAGATCATCAGTTTCACATTCATCAAATCATATACTTCATGCCATTTCAATAGATTGCAATACACCCCATGTGTTAACTCCTGAGTGAGACGGGAGCAGAAAGAATCTGTTCACTACAGAAGGTTAAGGTTTGACCTTCAGGCCTTATGGAAATGAAATACTTTGAGGAAGGGTGGGAAATGGCCTCGGTGGGAGATATTCCTGGGGAGATAGATATCCCCAGACTGGAGTAAGGGAGACGGAGCTCTT